AACCCTAAAGCTTAAACTCTAAACCCCAAAACCCTAAAAACACTAAACCCAGGTTGCTGGCCACCTGCATCGTGCAGGCCACCTACATTCATGACCTGGCCCACGAGGTCCTGGCCGTTCGGTTGGGGTTTAGGGTGTAGGGTCTAGGGGTTTAGGGGTTCAGGAGTTTAGGGGTTTAGGGTGTAGGGGCTTAGGGGTCTAGGGGTTTAGGGGCTTAGGGGCTTAGGGGTTTAGGGGTTTAGGGTTTAGGGGTTTAGGGTTTAGGGTTTTAGAGTGTAGGGGTTTAGGGTTTAGGGTATGGCCTTCGGCGGGCCTTTGAGGGGGATGGAAGCACCTAAAAGCCCCAGACCGTGAACCTCCATGTAGGGTTTAGGGTTTAGGTTTTAGGGATCTCTTACATACTATTTGTAGCCAGTAGATCCCCAACCTCCCTACATTCTGAAGCCCCGAACCAGCCCTAAATCCCTCCCTTCACTCCGCAGCCCGACGACAGGTCTGGCTGCCGGAGAACTATGCCGGCCTGCAACTGAACCTGGTCCACCGGGGCGGTCGCAGCACTGACCCTGCAGACTACTTACCCACCCATGAGGCGCAGAGGAGATTACGCCCCTGGGCCTTTGGCGTCCCAGGTTGTCGGAGATGTTAGCTTCAGACGGTTCTGCATGTTGACTTTATGAGAGGGTTCCGGGTGCTGTGGGATCTAGGACTTTAGGGCTTATAGTATAATAGGTTTCAGGGATACTGGGTTAGGGTTGCATACCTTTCATGTTGGTTCGTGCCGAGCAGAGGGTTTAAGATTAGGTCTTTAGGTGTCTGAGAATGTTATTTGAAGAGTCGAACGGATGAACCCCGGCCTTCGAATCTCTGATCCGAAGGCACCCGGCCGCGTTGCAAAGCTTGGCATCCTTTCGTCGTGAAGACCGCGGAAGCCCTAAAATACGCGTGGAAACCCCAAAGCCCCAAGCATCGGAGTGCGCTGCAGCCTCAAAGCTTTCAAGGCCTTCCCAAGCCCTCTAAGCCCTTGTTGACGAGGGTTTAGGGTTTGGGGTTTAGGGGACGAGATACAAGGACTTTAGGGTTTTGGGTTTAGGGAGATGTAAGGGCTTTAGGGTTTAACGGTTTGGGCAGCTCAGGCCCCGCAGCCTTGGCCCCAAATCCAGGCTTGTCGCTCATGGCTCTCAATGGCAGCAGCCTGGAGAGCCCATTGCTCTGCTACCGCAAAGTCTTCAAGGAGGCGCGGCAAGAACAGAGGGACAGAGAGCACAGACCACAAACCCTAAACCCAAACCCCTAAACCCTCAACCATAAACCCTTAAGCCCTTAACCCCAACCTCCAAACCCCCAAACCCCCAAACCC